GCCAATAGTTAACCAAAACAACAATACTTAAAAGAGGAAAAAAGTGTCACAGTTAATTCTTCCTTTATTAGTCTTCGAACCCAAATTCCAAAAAGATAGTGGTCTTCTTGTTCCTGCATGTAGCTTCCACTGTTGCTAATGTTGCTAATTCAACATTTGTGCTGCATTCCCATCACTAGCTGTTTGCGATAATCCCATGGTGTATTTTCATTGGTCGATTGCAGATGGGAGTCGGAGGTTTTCGAGCAGTACTTGAAGACTGTTGGAGGCTGATTTTGGTCACTGTCGCAGAGCTGGTCACAATTTTTTTTTGTCACGATTCTGTTTACGACGAGGGATTTGTCTGGGACGGACAAAAACGCACAGTATAGTCCAGGCTTTACACAACCAATGAGCTAATGGCTGGTGAGAATGCAGCCTAAGTTAAAGTAGATCGTTGCTGTGTTGAAACAGCTCCTGAACACATAAAGGTTTATGTATATGTCCGCTGCATTTAATCTAGCTGTTAGCCCATCAGTCCCGTAGGACGTTTCCAAACAGAGACTGTTCAGAAAGTGATCTATTATAGGTGCTATAATCTTTTGTAGCTTTTAGACAGAAATACTTCAAAATGGGCACAAAAAAAACCCTTTTAATAAAAAATCATAAATCAATGATTAATCTTTGTTTAACATGTTAACAACCAGGCTTGAGACAGCTGATGCTAATGTGATGAGCCTTAGCAAAAAGAAAAAGCGTATTTTGTAGTAGGATTAAAGTTTGTGATTTTGAGGGTGAAGGTTGTTCCAACGGTCCACAAAATTCAGTTTTTGGATTAAAAATAACTTCAGTGAAATTACCAGGTACGAATAAAATGGTCTGCCTTTTGAGGTCTGACTGGTTTTGGTTTTGGTGGCGGGACTCAGCACACGACACGAGTCCTCCACTCCTGTCCCAGCCAGTGATGATTTAAAATAATTTCCCTTTGATGGGTAATATTCGGTTTCACTCACTATTTATTGAGGTTTATGCATAAAAAGCTACTTGGTCATGGTCAGAAAACACCACAGCAGGAGATAAAACAGACACGTTGAGCATGGACCACATCAAACTATCCATTTCCTGGATATCCTGGTGACCAATCCCTCTCCTCTTCCCACGGAAACAACGCTTTGAAAGCTGTGCCAGGTGAAACAAAATATACTAAATTTGTGTCAGTCTGCACAAATATAAAGCTATTTTGTTTCGTAATGACTTTATGTGACATGATGATTTAAGTATAGTATTACATGTTACTTTTTATTGTTCTGTTTGGCTGTATTATTTATGTGCTACAGTGCGTTGCTAACTAATTGTTAATTAGTAACGCACTACTGAACATCAAAAAAAATAATTCCAGGCTGGAGTTTGACGGCTGTCTTTTAAGTTTTGGAGTCAGCTTTTGAAACTGCGCCTCAAATGAACAAAAGCTGTGTCTGAGGGCAGGAAACCAACTCAAACAGCAGCTGAGATTTGATCTCAGTCCGATCAGAACGGCTTTGCTCTGCCCTCTGCTTTACGTCCAGTCCATGTTTCTGATCAGATGGAGGCTAGGGATTGTGCTCCAGCATAAAAACGAAAAGAAAAATCTTTCCACCCCCTTCGTTTGTTTATTGTTAGACAAAAATATTTGCTTCAGCCATTTCCCACATGGGGTGGAGGTGGCCAAAAATAAAACAAACATTCGTGGCCTTGCTCGGTCTTGGCAAAAAAATGTGATGTTTCATTTGATGATTCGGAGGCATTTTTCAAAGCTGTTGTTTAAGAAAACATCGGTTATATTTTGCATAACGAAGACCGAACAAGATCCAATTTTTTGCCCTGAAAGAGGCTGCTCCCTGGAAATAAGTGCCTCTATCTTACTTAAGATGTGCAAAACGTACAAACGCTTCTCATAGGACAGCCAGTAAGAAGAAATTTGGTTGAGATACATTTCTTTATACAAAAAGTAGTGGTCAAGACACAAGCATGACACTATATTAGATGCTGAGTTTATTATTTTGTTAATTGCTGGGGCATCTGAAGAGAGGCAGCTTGCATCCTGCTATTCAGGACAAAAGAGGTAATTATTGCAGACAGACAGATGGCACATTGCAGTCTGTTGGTCAGTACCTACCATCGCTCTAAAAAGGCCTCTGTGGGCAGAAGGACACATGCAGGGTTGTGTCTGCCTGTCTCAGAGTGTGTGTGTTTCTGCAAGCATATGTGTGTGTGTGTACAGTTTTAGAAATAGTTGGGGAGGCATTAGCATATGGGTGTACGTGAGGTGTTTTGATGGTATGCTTGTGAGGGCTTTGGACGTTTGTGTAGGTGCTTCAGTGGAAATTTATGCCTAAAGTTAGACAGATTAAAAAGTTTATATCCCCAAAATATCCTCATAAACACCTGACAGTAGTTTCTGAGCAAAGGAGTTTTAGTAAACAGCTTGGAACCTTTCTCATCGTCTCCTCTGCATTAAGTTTTCAAAGATTTCTTGGAACTGAATGTGAAATATGATTTTAAACATGCATTTAACATAGATGATCAATTGATTTATTTATTTATGATTCAAATCTGTCTCTCCCACTTTAGCTTTAGAAGCTAACAAACAAATCAGAAATATAAAAAGGTTAAGTTAACCAACACTTGAAATTTACAAAAATAAATGTTTTCATTCGCAAATAAATATTTTCTACTTTCGTTTTCATTCACTGTTGTTTTCCAATGAGCAAAACATGAAAACCTGCATTTACAATTATTTTGGTCTTTCTTCCATCGTGCTATGCTGGAATTTTCTATAAGTAAAAAAAACCTTTCGATGTTGGGGTTAGGGTTAGGGTTAGAAGTAATGTTCCTGCTTTTCTGATGACTTTAGATTAAAAGGTGTGGGTCCCATGTTTAAACAATACATTTGCAGTGGTCTCTAGTAGGAACGAATGCCCTGTCAGTCGTACTCGGGGTTAAAAAAGCTCGGCTGCTCCTGAATCTAGAAGTACAAGTCAGCTGAAGGAGAAATAGCTTCAGACTACAGGATTTGGACATCTCGCCTCGGATTGGATAACAGAAACTTGACTCTACCACTGACTCTGTTTGGTCTACAAAGTTGATGTTTTATCCCCACAAATAACAAAAGCCTGGAAGAGTTCTGCTGTGTGGTAGAGTTGCTAATGCTAACGGTTAGCTTCTACTAGCCGAGAGATTCTCTGCTTTTTTCTGGACGCTAAACCAACAACAGCCTTTCCTGTCATGAGCCAAGATGGGTGAGTCCATGAATGTTAAGTGACAGTGTGACGTAGATCTGTCAGGCTTTTCAAATCCTAGATTTTCACCATCTATTCTCTATCAGAAGCTAATGCAGGAGATAGGTGTAGGAGACTATTTTGAAGTTCTGTGCTCGGCTTCTGACCAAGTCCTCCAAACACACCCACATCACCCCGCTTCTCCTCCAGCTTCACTGGCTGCCAGTCAACTTCAGGGTTCATTTCAAGATCCTGGTTCTGGTCTATAGGGCCTTACATGGACAAGCACCATCTTACATTGGTGATCTTCTTAGTCCCTACACCCCCAGCAGGTCCCTGAGGTCCAGTGATCAAAGCCTACTGGTTGTGCAGCACCAGGCTAAAGACCAAAGGTGACAGATCATCTGCTGCTGTGGCCCCCAGACTCTGGACCTCTCTCCCCCTGAGCCTGAGATCAGTGGACTCAGTGGTCTCCTTTAAAAAGCAGCTGAAGACTCACTTGTTCAAGCTGGCTTTTGTATGACCTTCTTCACCTCTCTCTCTTTATTCTGCTCTCCCCACCTATTCCACCTTCCTCAGGATCCACTGGTTTCCCTCTTTCCTATTCACTCTCTCTCTTTCTTAACATCTTTTAATCACAATTGTCTATTTTTTGCTCGTTTTAAATATATTTTTAAACATTTTCTAAATGCTTTTTTATCTTTTTACATTTTTTGATTTTGTGAAGTGCCTCGTGATTTTTATCTTGAGAGGCGCTATAGAAATGATATTTTCTTCTTCTTCTTTCTGGATTGCAATGGTACTGATCCAGATGTGATGTAGAAAAGAAAATCTTGGGTTCATGGATGGATAGATAAGTGGATGGATGGATGAATGATGAAAGGATGGATAGATGGATAGATGGATGGGTAAATGGATGGGTGGATGGATGGATGATTGGATGGATGGTTGGTCAGTTGGTTTGTTGGTTGGTTTGTTGAATGAAATAATGAATACATGAATGAATGACTGAATGAATGAACGAACAAACAAACAAACAAATGAATGGTGTTAAGTGTGTTCTTTGACATTCATCATCATGTTTTGTATAGAAACATTAAATAGACCTACTTAAAAGTGAGGAACAGAAGCACTGACATTTCTTTCCGACAACATTTATCTTAAGAACGAATTCTAAATTTGATTGTTGAATATTGAGAAGAGTTTAACTGAATTAGACTGGATGCATCTGGATCTGTCAGCTTTATTGCACCTTGTCAAAGTTTTTGTTTGTTCAAAATAAATAAATGGAATGAAATAGAAATGGATCTACTGAGCCATCAAACTAAATGCTGCTAAACACCTTTTCCGCAGTTTTTTCTCCCCAACTTACATTAGATTAGTCACCAGGTTTTGAAAGCTGGCCTTCATCGAGCCATGTGGTGATAATCTTCTAGTCTGGATCCAACATTAATAACAGTCTCTCAGGAACTATTTTAGAGTCGCGAGTTGAGACCCACTCAGGGGATGAGGCACTTGGAGGACAGCTGGACCTGGATAATGCCACCGTGGACGAGTCAAGCCAAGTGTGGTTTTGGTAATGACAGCTGTAACCTCTGCTACAGGAAGCGGGGCTGAAACTGGCGTCCAGACCAGAAGCTGCCTACTCTGTAAGGAGATGCTTCCACATTTCCACCCTTTACATAAATACATGAACAAAGCACAGTTTGTACCATATATTTCATATCTCCTCCTCTTTGCCTCTGTCCAGTTTCACATACTGACCTGTAGGCAGTCTGGTCAAACGGTTGAGCTGCAGGAAATCCTAAAACGCCACATACGACACGGCTGCTGCTCAGGTCCCAACCCTGGTCGCACACATGACGCCACTTTCCAGCGTACTTCACTTCCAGCACGCCCTCGGTCACCAGACCACCAGCGTTGCTGGACAGGACGGGCCGTAAACGAGCTTCCTCTAAGTGAACCCTTCCAGATCCCTGTTCACGAGAATGTGTAGAAGCATTAAAAAAGGAAACTGCGTGAGTTAGGGTTAGGCAACTGTAAGCGATAACTGAAGCTCTCCTCACACAACACATTGATTGTACAAACAGCAGCAGACACCGTGCAATCAAGAGCAGAATAACGGATAACACGCTTTGATCATCCTACTCTCTAATCATCCACATGTCGTGCTTGGACTGCAGGAAGGAAACAGTGAAGTTTGTTGAATGTGTCAGGATGATTATAAAAGAGTGACAGCGTGTGATGCGTGCAAGTTGAAAAGAAGAAGAAAAAATAAAACAAAAGTGATGAATGGCAGAATTGTGTTTCTTCCTCTGGAAGAAGAGCTAAACTCAAGGCCCTGTTGGGGTAGAGGACCTGGATCTGTAGGAGCTTGAGGTTTTAGGGACATCTCTAATTATACGTGCCTACTGGGCTGTGGCTTTGCAAATGACATTTCTGTTAGTCTCTACGAAACCAGACTGTGTGAGCGTGCATGTGAGTGTGTGTGCTTTTACCTGTGTGTACTGTGCATCAGACTCCAGTCCCACGTCTGGATAAACTGGATCGGGTTCGACGTGGTTCTCGCTGAGCTGCTGGAACCTGCTCTCAGACTGGACCTGGGGGTAAGCTGGTGGTTGTGGCTGCCTGCTCACCTGCCCCTCTGCCTCCTGTCTCATGGCAGGTGGACCAGCCCTCACCGTCTCCTGCCTCTGCCTGTAGGCTTCGATATTCGCCAGGCGCGAAGGCAGCTGGTGTCCTTGCGGCAAAGCCTGCTGGCTCTGTCTTGAACCGCCTCGATTCCGTCTCAAGATCTGTATCTCGTGGCCATTCTCCCGCGGGGAGATGCTGTTGCGACGGGAGCTGGAAGGGTTGCGATTGAGGGCAATCTCATGGCCTCTTGAGGAGTATGAGGGAATGTTTGCCTCAGGTGGAGCTGCAGGGAACCAAGACTGTGCTGCTGGTGGTGGTGGTGGTGGTGGGTTTATTTGTTGGCTCGGCTGCTGGTTTGAGGATGAATATGTTTCCTCAATAGTGGCGGGGGGAAAGCCAGGTCTCCTTTCTGGGCTGCAAATGATCCCTAGATCCTCTGCATGTGTGCAGTCATTGATTCCCCAACCGCTGAAGTGGCATTGAGCAACCGAGAGCTCCGTACCTTTACAGCGCACATTATCTAACCAGATCAAACCTGGGACAAGAAAGATCATTGATCAAATCAAAAGAAAATAATAATCAGCAACAGGTTTTGAGCTTTTATCTGTCTGTACCTTGTCCCTGACCAAACTTGGCACTGTGCGCCCAGGTAAAGCTGCGCTGGAAGCCCAGCTGCCTGCACAACACATTGGCAAGGTTGATATCCACCTCATCATCACACACCGTGCCCCACGACCCGTCGTAGAACACCTCCACACGGCCCTCATTTGCACCTTGTCGACCCACGCCTGCCAGACGCACCAGAACATCCTGCGCAGACATCTGAGGGAGCCGGAGGAGAAGCAGGACGAGGAATGTGGACAGGGAGCTGAGAAGCAGCATCCTAGAGAGAGACAAGCAGCAAAGTAGGGCTGACTGGAAATGTGGCAATAAAAAAGAGAGAAGATGCCAAAGCTGGAGACCCCAAATAAATATGCACATGTCACCACAAAAATCCTAAAACTCACGTACAGACATGGAACTCACATTCCACACCCTGGCAAACGTATAATTAGAAACTTTCCTTAAAACCCTAATGGGACACTCCGTGGTAAAGTGAAAGATTTATGGATTTTTTTTTTCATTTTTTTATATCCTTTTGAAATAATCGGTCATTTAAAGGACAGTCGGAGGCCTGGGAGACAGTCTGGACCAGGACGGGGAGTAATAACCAAATCTAAAAGCAGCCTCTCCATCCAGCCAGCGGAAACTGGCTTTCCGCAAACCCTCCAGTTTAGCTGCTTGCATTTAGCCAACAGACACAAAAGCAAATAAACACGGTCATAAAAAATGTTCTCACACGTAAATAAAGCAGCTGGCCTGTAAGCAACGTTCTGGTTCATCAGCAGCAATAAAATATTCAACTTTTCATAGAAAGGATGAAAAAATCAGGTGAGAGAGATGGTTTCTGGAAAGGTGAGCAAACGTAAGCTGGCACACATTCTTGCAAGTGAATTTAAACAGATAAAAGATGTGGAAAATCAGAATCCTCTAATTTAAAATACCTTTGGGTTTAATTTTCAAAAAAATAAAAAAGGAGAAAAGACAGGAAATAGAAATTTGCTGAGATGGAACTCACCTGTCTGTTGGTCTCACCCTGAAGTCACTGGGAGAAAGAAAGGAGATGAAACTGGGACTTTGGTCCTGCTGACTCTCTATTCTCCTCTTTTCCCTCCCTCTCTCCTTTTCTGTCACTCCTTCAGATCTGCTACTTCTTCAGTCCCTCCCATTTTTTATTCAGCTGAGAAGTTCTTTTCCTCTCCTCCTTCCCTGAAGTCACGTTTCTCTTTCCTTCTCAGACGGCCCTTCAAAGAAAATCTGGAAGAAGAAAAATAAACCTGGCCACAGAAATCCAAAGAAACAAAAAACAAACAAAACAAAACAAAAAAAGCAAACTTTTTTATATATAAGCAGAACAAACTGTTCTCTTGGTGTAAACATTAACTTTGTAATGATCTGAGCATCTCAAAGAAAAGTGATGTGAAAACCCCTGGGGTGGGTTTATAGACATTTTTACCTGTGTCCAGGTGTGATCTTGTTCTCCTTCCTTTCTGTTTCCTGATTTTTGAAGCTTGGGATTTTTTCCACAACGTTTAACCCTTCTTTCAGTAAAACTAACAGCTAAAATGTTAAACTGCACACAACTTAAGGTGCCACATGATAAAAACGTTGTCATCTGCAGCGGGAGCAAAGCTGCAGTTCTCAGCTTTGTGTTGTGATCATCGACATACCTATATGTATACATTGTGATATATGTGTGTTTAGGTATTTATCTCTTTATTGTTACTTCTGTTTCAGTCATTGGGTCAATGAATCCTTCAGTCAAAAGTTTTGCCCTGCAGCTCATGCTCTTGTGTTCCCTTGTGCCCCTTCTCCACCAGCACGATTCAGCGTGACACAAATGGGATCAGTTTGGCCTATTCCAACATCTCGGGTCAGTATTTACTCCAACGTTTCAGTACCTGCTTCGACTTGGTTCCCAGCGTACCGCACCATTCTAAAAATGCAAGGTCAGCAACTGTCGGCCACTGATTGGCTAGGGGGAGGAGTCACTGACTAGTGCAGAGCTTTACGCCTGCTGCCGTTTCTGGGTTGAGGGTCTGACAAAAACAAAATCTAAATGTTCTATTATTGTGGTTTTGCACAAGTTACAGAAAACTTTTTTTGTCGGGTAAAGATCGCGGGTCTGACGACACCCCCCCCCCCCCCCCCCTCACTGAACACCCACTAGAGCCATGTCTCAGTTTGACTTGCAGAAACAAACCACACTGAGCTAAATGAAGTCAAGTTTAACAAATTCAGGAGCCATAGCTGTACCTGAACTGGGGCATGTTTTCAGAAATGACCTGGTAGAGTTGCTGGGCAGGACTTGTATAACTCGGTAGGAAATGACATCAACAGATGTCGCCAAACAACCGACATTTGTAAAAGTGGAAAGGCTGCTGGTGAAGAAGAAAGGAAAGAAAACAAGCAGTTTCTTAGCTCTCAGTGCTGAAAACGAAGCAGAATTCCCCCCACAACGCAGCTTTGTGGAGTCAAAGAGCACACCGTAAGAAAACAACTGAACACAACTTTCTCTGATAGAATTTGATGGAATAAAATTGTTTTATTGTTGTCTGTGCATGATTTTTGGCGCTCACTCGCTGCCAAAATGGTTGCAATATGCTGACGTCTTGAGTCCCAAAGGGCTGATTTTTTTAATGATAAATCAACTGCACCTGTATAGCTCCTTTCAGAGTCAGAGGACTCCAAATTGCTTAACTCTACAGTGTGCTATTCATCCGTTCACACATGCATTCACTTGCTGATGGTGATGAGCTGCGATGCAGCCACAGCTGTCCTGGGTGGAGACGCAACAGCTGAGGGGACCAAGCCATTCTATCGGAAATTTCCAGGAACTCCTAAAGTTTATATACATGAAAATACGGCTCATGTATACAGTAAATGGGATGCCCAGTCCTGGTCCTGTTGTGTTCTGAACCACTAGGGGTCAGTATACTCTCACTGAGAGATAAAAAGAAGATTATTTAAGATGGATGCTGCCCTCTCTACCCGTAAATAAAGTTCCTGTGGATAAAGTAATTCTACCTTCTCTTTACCTACTGCAAAACACAAGGGCTGCTGTACAGCATGTTTTCATTGTTTCCCTGCTCCAACACATTTGATTCAATTGTTTAATCACCTGTTCACAAGTCATAAAGCTCTGCAGAGTTTCTTCAAACACCTGCTGATTAAATCCAGGTGTGTTGAAGGAGAGAAACAACTAAAACATGCTGGATAGTGGCCTTCAAAGGACCAGGATTGGGTGCCATGTGACTGGTTCCTCATTTACTCTACCCCAGATCAACTACTCAAGGGCTACCATTTGACAAATTTAAGAGGTTTCTTTGCTCTAACACACCTGGTTTAAATGAAGGAGGGAAAAACAGGCTTCTGTAGGACTTAACATGGTGAGGAAGATATTTAATCAACCAAACATTCAGGACTGGAGTTGGTGACCTTTACCCTCATTTCCTCCCAGTTTTCTTCTGTCTTCTTTCTTTACAAGTTCTGTTATTGTTTTTAATAAAATGTCTTCAATCTGTGGTCTTACCTGAACCCCCGAACCCTCACCCTTTGTATTTCGGCATGGAGTAGTTCTGTTAACTGGATTCTGACTCAAAAAGAATAAATCCTCCTTAAGATAGAACTACAGGTGTTAGAATTCAAAATCTTATGAATAAAAATCTATTCTAGTTACGTTTTAGGTGAAGGGAATCAAGTTTAAGGGTAAGCTCAGAAAACCCTTGATGTTTCTTGGTTTAAGCAGAAACCTCTCTCTCTCTCTCTCTCTCTCTCTCTCTCTCTCTTTTATTTTTTAGCACATTTTCTTGCGTCCACAACAAGAATTTTGGTCTTTAAAATGGTTCCTTACACTCTTTCTTAACAACACATTTAAACAGTTTATTTACCATATAAATGTTTTCTCAGACATTCAGACTTTTTCTGTGGATGAAAGCTGGTTTAAGAATGTGAAACACTTTAGTTCAAGAGCTCCCTCTAGTGGTGTCACAAATGTATTCAATCTTTTCTGAACTTTTATTTTAGAAGATGTTTTTAACCCTCCCACTGTCTTCATGGGTGACCCCGCCAGGAAAGTTGACCACTGAGCAGGCTTGATGGTCTGTCCCTTTGGTCCACGTGGCAGGGGTGAGGTGATGCTCACTCCTCACCCCTGCCACGTGGACCCAAGGGATCTACCATCAATCCTGCTCAGTGGTCAGCTTTCCTGGCGGGGTCACCCATGAAGACAGTGGGAGGGTTAAACATGTGAGACAAGCGCAGAATATCCAATTATGAGGCGATTTAAAGCACATATTATAATAAATAGTTTGACTAAAGCAAAAACATTGATGAAAAAAAGCATCATAGCTCCATGCAACCCACACAAATGAAAAACATTTGTTTTGCCCTATAGGTTATAAAAAAAATAATAATTGTACGTCGCTTTGGATAAAAGCGTCTGCAAAATGAATAAACATAATAATAATAATAATAATAAAAACAAAATTTTTCATTCTGATGGTGGTGAGAGATTTACTTAACTTTCTTAAAAACACAGGCCTGTGTGGGTAAATGTGTTTAAGAATGAAACCAGGAACGTGAAAACCAAAGCAATGAAAGCAACACGTTTGGTATCAAACCTGTACTTAAAGCAACTGCAGTAAACGAGGTGTGAAGCAGGATTCTGTTGCAGAAGTGGTCTAAAAAAGAGGGTAGTGAGGTGTCATCCGACATTTCCTGCATCATAGTTTAGTGTGAGACAACTTCCTGTCACTGTCACAAACATGAGGGCATTTTTAAAATATAATACCCTAATGTTTTTTTTTTAGCATTTTGCAGGTTTCCTACGACTTTTACACACAGACCATGCAACTTTAGCACCCACATTTACCAACAGTTGTGCACATTGTTCATGCATGTGGGTCTACACCAAACAGAAATAAGGTGGGCGACTTTCTTCAAACAAGAATCCAACCTTACAGCCAGCAGGGCCCACTTTCAGCCCATTAAAGACCCACTCCGGCTCTACAGACAAATTTGAGCTGGTTACTGGATTAAAGATTTTGCAGTGTAGCAGCATTGATTTGATGTTACTGTGAACAGAAACACTAACCTGGCAAGCCATCCCATATATGTCAACATATAGTCTGGACACCGCCCACTGACGTCTCTCAGTCATGGGGCGAGACCTACGGTTGCCTTTGAAACTGTCTCCGTATACTATTGGATAACGAACAATGTGACGTGCTCACTGCTACAGATAACCTAACCATACTCCACCAAAGAAGCAAATACATCCTTTTTCTAAGTAAACACAAGTACCTCTTTCTGCTTCTGAGTCAAACAGAAGCCCAAGGCCAAATAGTCCAAAGTTGATGCCGATTAGACCGTTACAGAGTTGTCGCCAACTTAGTTTCCCTCAGTTGCACTAATGTCCCACCTACCTGACTGATAGAGCACTGTGATTGGCCCACCACACCAATAGAGTGCTACAGATGTCAGTGAACAGAGCAGTCCGCCATATATCGGTGAAGAAGACGCAAACTAAACTGATAGAGCGCTGTGATTGGTCCGGCACCAGGTGGCCGGGGCTGTGAAGGTTCCAATGTAGCGTAGCTAGACCATCCGGTCTAGCTTCCTAGGCTACAGAAACACAACTAGAGCAAGAAAATACTGTAACATGAGGAAATATGGGTTTTTCTGTCACAAAGGTGGTGCTGGACTAAGCTGGGTCAAAGCTGGGTCATTGAGAACTTTCACCCACAGATTAAGACCTGAACGCCAGCGAGTCTGGGAGGAAACCATAACATCAGCCACCTGCAGTCTACCAGAAGATGTGTTTCCATGAGTTGTACCCAGACCAAGTCAAAACATAAAGTTTAAACTTCTTTTTCTTGATTTTAATGTTAAAGTAACCATTATCATTTTGCTCATTATAAATGTGTTTAATCAAATGAATGACTATTATGCTTTGGGGTAATTATAAGAGATTTAATGAATCCATTCTTAAATAGTGTTGAGAATGTTTGTTACTGACCTTCACACACTCAAGCACAAACAGTCACACACATCCACACACATCTTCCCACAGTAAACTCCAGACACATTTGATGACGCACACGTTTGCTTTGAGAAGAGAAAGGTTTTTGGTAAGTTTCAGTCTTATGATTCCAGTTCGTGCTTGACAACGAAAGAGAGAGAACCTGAAAGGGGGGGACAGAGCCTGTTGGCTCGTTTCTCCCCCCCCCCCCCCCCCCCCTTTCTCACGCTGTTTCTGCCAAGCCAGGCAGAATAGCTGAATCGCAACTTCTAACGCAGACTCAATACAGAGTCTTTGATTTCTGAGTGAATTAACTTAAGAAAGCGCATCGACAAAACGCTTTACCATCCACGTGTACCGAGGGCAACTCTGGACCGGTTCCGTTCGACACCTACGTCTCCTGTCAGCCGCCGGTGTCATCTGGATGAACCACAACATCCTCCACGGCCCGGATCCGAAAGAGGGTCCACAAGAGTTCGGTGAGACAGAGCACGGTTTTAGCGTTTGATGCAGTTCTCTGATAAGACCTAAGTTTATTCAAACCATCACTTCACTCAGACACCTGTTTCTTCCTGAAGCAAAATCAGATGCACACACGCATCCATCTCACCCCATCCTTGGATCACTCCTTTTCAGAACCTCCAAGTCCAACACCTCCAGGTCTTTGGACATCTGAACACCAACTCTTTCAGCACGATTCAGGTGACGCTGTGCATCTTCTTGGTAATAGGGCTTTTAAGAGCATAAGAACTGTTCTTTGTTATGCTTCTCCTGTCTCACAGACACGGCATGAGTTTGAGAAACAAAAGGGGGGTGGGGAACCTCCTCCTGCTTTGCGAGCATCATTTTCGCATTTCCAGTTCACTACCATTTCTGATCACAACAAAGTCGCCTCCGTAAAGCTGCAACCCAACTTTGAGCAGGTAAAATCAGGTTCTGATCTAACAGCTAAACCATCAGCTTCGCTCCAGTTCCGGACGGAACCCTCAGGTAAATTCAAACAAGTTTCCCGGTGGGTTCGTAACACAAGATACAAACAGTTTGATAACCAAATCGCTTATGAGCCTGCTCCCACAGATACGTCCAAACTCGTGTCTCTGTGGGTCCGCAATACCAGATTCAAAACTCTATACTGAACAACTCTATTCTGACCAACTCTATTCAGACCGGATTCTTTTCCGCTGACTGGTGGACCGTTACAAATTCTCTTGTTTGTGGGATGAATTTTTAACAAATGTGATATCCTTTGAGTTTTTTTTTCAGGTTACCTGCCTCCAGCCAGGGTCCTGTTACTAACTCACATTTTCAGGGATTACTAACCTACTGATTTACATTTTTAGAACTGATTTACATCTCTATCTTTTTATTAGTGCTTTGTGTGGCATGATTATATTTGATTACAAATTTAATTTTATTTTGTTACTATTACTTAAAGGGCCACAAGCCAATTTGCCCTTCATTTTCATGATTATTTCTTTTATATATAAGCCTTTAATTGGTGCAGCCTGCTGAGTTTCACATATCAGTTAGGATTTACTTTCTTTTATTTGTGTTTTCTCTGCATCACGTTTTTACATGACATGTAGAACAGGGTGCAGAACATTTCTTCTTTAGATAATTCACAGAAGGCATCCACATTTTCCCAGAGGCACCCATAGATAGGTTTTGATTGATTTCTTTGTTTTGCATCAAATGCTATCTATCGTGTGGGCTGTCTCACTTTGTCTCCTTCTCCGAGCTCGTATGGACTACATCCCATCAGAGGGGTCGTCTTCACCATCCTTCAACTGGTTTCCTGTCGCATGGGGCTTCGGTCGTGGTTCGAGATGGGTCGAGGTCTGCGCTGGACTTCGCCTGGACTACGCCCGAGGAATGCATCACCTGCCCAGCTCCGTGTGACACACGAGCTGCTTATCCTTTGAATACCTTTGCATTATTACTGATGAAATTAACTGCTATTGAAATAGCTCTGCTTTCAAGATTCCCTAAGTGGATTACTTTACAATGATTGCAACAGTTTTGGCCTTAATCATCTGATCAGGATAGACTCCCTTCTACACGAGACCTGTGGTGATGCTTCATCGTTCCTGCCTTCATCTGGGATGTCTACCTTCACGAGTACATCACGTTATTGTGGTTGTGACGTCAGGTGGCCTCTGCTTGACCACCATGTCGTCACAAAAAGGGGGGATCTGTAACGTGAGGAAATATGGGTTTTTCTGTCACAAAGGTGGTGCTGGACTAAGCTGGGTCAAAGCTGGGTCATTGAGAACTTTCACCCACAGATTAAGACCTGAACGCCAGTGAGTCTGGGAGGAAACCATAACATCAGCCACCTGCAGTCTAGCAGAAGATGTGTTTCCATGAGTTGTACCCAGACCAAGTCAAAACATAAAGTTTAAACTTCTTTTTCTTGATTTTAATGTTAAAGTAACCATTATCATTTTGCTCATTATAAATGTGTTTAATCAAATGAATGACTATTATGCTTTGGGGTAATTATAAGAGATTTAATGACTCCATTCTTAAATAATGTTGAGAATGTTTGTTACTGACCTTCACACACTCAAGCACACAAACAGTCACACACACCCACACACATCTTCCCACAGTAAACTCCAGACACATTTGATGACGCACATGTTTTGCTTTGAGAAGAGAAAGGTTTTTGGTAAGTTTCAGTCTTATGATTCCAGTTCGTGCTTGACAACGAAAGAGAGAGAACCTGAAAGGGGGGACAGAGCCTGTTGGCTCGTTTCTTCCCCCCCCCCCCCCCCCCTTTTCTCACGCTGTTTCTGCCAAGCCAGGCAGAATAGCTGAATCGCAACTTCTAACGCAGACTCAATACAGAGTCTTTGATTTCTGAGTGAATTAACTTAAGAAAGCGCATCGACAAAACGCTTTACCATCCACGTGTACCGAGGGCAACTCTGGACCGGTTCCGTTCGACACCTACGTCCCCTGTCAGCCGCCGGTGTCATCTGGATGAACCACAACATCCTCCACGGCCCGGATCCGAAAGAGGGTCCACAAGAGTTCGGTGAGACAGAGCACGGGTTTTAGCGTTTGATGCAGTTCTCTGATAAGACCTAAGTTTATTCAAACCATCACTTTTCACTCAGACACCTGTTTCTTCCTGAAGCAAAATCAGACTCACACACTCTTCATAAATTCACCAGAAGGTCTATTTGAGCAAGAACAGCATATCAACTGTTAAAGATTGTCCCACAAAGTTGCCAATGTGATTGTTATTTCCTGTTTGTCAATTTTCAAAATCATTAGTTTAATTTGAAGAATTAAAACTTTTAATCCTTCAAACTGGTTTCCTCATTGAACTGAAACACAGACACTCAGATATTATCGGCAGTTTATCGATGAAAACAACCTTTGAGTCTTCTGAACAATATAAAACTTGGTTATTAAATATTAAAAATTAATATTCCGAATTAATACGTAGCATGGTTCCTCTTTCATAAAAGAGCATAAAACCACAACGCTACAATACCATACCAATTTATTTATAAAGCACCATTTAATTATAGCATGGCAGCTAACCAAAGTGCTGAACATAAAGGAGCCAACTCGGGCATATCAGCAAAACAAAGTAAAAACATGGAAATCAGGTAAAATACATAAAGACATAGCAGAAGAAAAGTAAAAACTAAGTGTTGTCTGAAGAAAAACGTTAAAAATTGTTTTCTAATTTTTATTCAGAAGCGTATTACTTTGATCACAGCAGCACATTAAATAAAAAAACTACAAAGCTGAAATTAGTTCAGCACTCAAACTGCTGCATTCAGTGTCCCGATAACACCGTGGTGGTGGGGTATCGTTTACGGTGTGGCATGCACTTTTCCCTCTCAATAAACAGTGAGTGAGCTTTACAGTTTATGTCCTTCTGCAGCGCCATCCTGGACTCCTCCAGGCGGGACAAGGAGCTTCTGGCTTCGCTCAGTTTCTGGTTCAGAGACGCTAAGGTGACGTCGATCTGCCTCACCTCTTCTTCCAAACTGCAGACACACAACACCAATGAGAAAATGGAGAAAAACAACAACAGTCGTGTGTTTTTTATGGTTCTACCTGAGCTGCGGCTGATCCCTGCAGAGCTCCATGTTGGGTCTAAGGGAGCGGAGGTAAAGTCTGGACTGGGCCACTCTCAGCGGAGCCTCTTTGTTGTGGATGGCCTGCTGTAGAGACACAATGTTCTTCTCCTGGGATCCAATTTGGTCCAAAATCTACAAACAATAAAAGAAACAGTCATAAAATAACTTATTTGAGCCAGGTTTTGTCTGTTCATCCACCTGAGCGAGTTTCCTCTCCAGCTGGGTCTTAGCCTCGATGAGCTCTTCACAGCGCTGGCTGAAGGCTCGGTCCACGTTGGAGCTCTGGACTCTCAGATCCTCGGTTGTGTCCTGCAGCATCTGCTCCACTAGCATCCTACACACACACACACACACACACACCATGTTTACATCAGTCAGGCCCAGGGTTTATTTAGGCCATAATTGCGTAACTATAATGTTGAGCTCTCCCGCAGGTTGTTTAATGTAAATCAGCTCTTTTGAGGATTTTTATGTTCATTTTTAGTATTGTGATGCTTTTTTCAACAATGCAAATCAATAAAATCACCATTAAACAATTTTTGTAAGTTTTGAAGGAAAAACAAACATTCTGATTCATAGGAAGACGTTTAACTCGATGAATTTGGCCTCAGCGTTGAAAAGTTTGGACACTCTTGTGTTACGGTCGGCCATTGTACCAGGAAGTAGCACAAATGGGCAGAATTCCTTTTCCAAGCTTGAATTTAATCCGCGTCACAGGCAGTCAGGCATCCACCTTAACTTCTCACTCAAGCACTTCTCCTCCTTCTCTCCTACCTATCCTATACTGCCCCTAGTGGTAGACACAACACCAGGCTCTGACCCAGCGCTCTCTGACCTGAGGCTGTTGGTGGCCTCCTCCTCCTGCAGGGCCTTGGACAGGTTGTCTTGTGTAACCTTTGTCCATGACGTGGGAGTACAAATGCTGCAGAAATCAGAGGGAACCTTCTGTGTTTAGTTCAAAGACAACAAAGCACATTTGACATTTCTACTGGCACTCACTGCTCCTGCATAGTGGCTGAACTGGGATGCAGCTTAGTGTCGGGACTCGTGTTGCTGTGTCTTCCACTGCGATCATCAAAGCTGTAGGCCTCGTGTTTATCAGACCAGTCCATTTCCAACGTCTGCTGGGCGTCTCTGTTCATCCTGACACACAGAAACCAGTCCATCAATAATATCATTCAACAGTAAAGGGATTTGAGACTAGATTTCATAAATGAACCAGTTAATTTTGCACCTACTTGATCTGAGTGACAACCTGAGCTATAGTTCTCTTCAGAAGAGCCTGGATGTTCTTGATCAGGTCCACCTCCTGACAAACACACAGATCTACATGTAATCTGTTTAGACTGTAACTAGACGGATCCTCGTGAAAACCAGTGGTTACCAAACTTTTCAGCTTGAACTCTAATTAACTTTTAAATCAAAAATGAAAACATTCATGTATTCATCAGCCTGTGAATGAATGCTTTTCATGCTGCACCTTCTGCACTGTAACTGCTCAGTTTTTAACTTTTGCCCTTTTATCTTATTCTTACATCTAATTTTATTTGTGTGTATTTAAATTAGATTTTAAATTCTGATATTTTATGTTTTCACATGCACATCGAATTGCTTCTGTGTTTGAAATGGACTCTACAAATAGAGCTGCTTTGCCTCCAGACCCACAACATAAAAATTATCAAGACGTGCAACCCCAGAGCTCTGATTTGACAAAACAAACATGCTTGAAAATCAAAATAATTCAGGACAAAAAGAAAACCGCTCCAGCTCATGTTTAACGATTTCTGACAATTTAGTTGAGTTTTTGTAACAGTTATGCTAAAAAATATGGATTAATCTATTGTTTTTGAATAAAACTTTGTTTTATGTAAATTAATATCAAATCTGTAGTAGTACCCTATCCACAGTGAGGTCTTGACCCCAACTTTGGGAACCACTGATTTACATTTTATTTAGAATTTAGCTAATAACTATGCAAATTAAATAAATTAATTAATTAACCAACATTAGAAAAACAAAGTTTTCTAATCTATTCTGTTCCATTAAAATCCACTGTTTACACTCTGATTTAATTATAAAGTCAATTTTTGAAATATAGTTCACTGCAAACGTTTACAACATCAATTATTCAATTTTTTGCAAGAAAAATATCCTTTAAACATTTTTTAGTTTACTCAAAAACATAAAATGTTCATTCATTAAATTAGATCAGTTTAACAATGAATGATCAAATATCTTCAACGATTTTACTAAATAAACTTTTTTTTTACATTTATTCTAAAACAGATTGATTTGTTACAGAACATTATCTAATTTTAGTCAGTTTGAAACCTTTGTATTTTGTTTTTTTTGCAAGTTGTCAGAAACATTAACCACTGGATATTAAAATGATAAATTTCATACTATTTCATGCATCAGGTTTTAAAATGTTACCATCGCATTAAAGCAGCCCATAGTGTTCACCTTCATCAGCTCCTCCTCCACGCTGTCTCGGACCAGGTCTGGTCCCAGTCTTCTGGTTCTGCAGGTCAGATTATCGGTGGCGATGGCGTACGGAATCTCTGTAGCATCCAGCACCCTCTCCAGCCTCACCTTCACCTGCAGCAGAGCCTCAGAGTCGGCCTGCAGCTGCTCGACGTGCCGCTGCAGCTCAGACCTCCAGTAGTGGATCTCTTGGAGCCTCTCTCCCAGAAGACGGGTCCCCAAGCTCTGGGTCTCCACAGTGGCATCATGTGTGTTGCGGTTCAGGGTTCTGGACTTTCTCTGGATGCTCTGGGCTTCGTGGTGATCAGAACCGGCCTGTCTGATTAAAGTTTGGTAGTTGGAGAACCATTCAGCCGGGGTGTACTTGGCTGAGCGGTACCCCACAGTGGCTGAGCCCGAGGATGGCTGAGGGATGTCCTTCAGATCAGGACTTTTCTCAAGAGCTTCCTGAGCCACAGATCTGCTGTCAAAGTGAGGTTGTGGCACCAGAACTTCAGAGCTCATTTTTAGGTCGTTTTAAAGAAAACAAAACTAGTGAAAACATGAGCCGCTTCAGTCTCCAAACCAAACTGCAGCTAAACGTAGAGAAGTCTGTTTGTTAGGTGTTGCTTAGTTACGCTGTTGAGGCATCTCTGGTGACCAGGATACCGATCAGATGTCAGCATCAGCCTTTCGACTGAGTGACTCAGTGTTTGTTTGGATGCGGAGATTCAACTGAATTCAAAAGGGGAAACTCAAACCCTTCGACCTACTTGTGTTACAGTCTGTGGGTAGATTCAGACACATGAAAGTCATTCTGATCTGCAGATAAACAAACATTTTCTTACAAAAACAAAAAGGAGAATCGAAGAAAAGGGAAGTCCTTGTCATGGTCTGCTTCTGCGTCTCCCTCAGCTGTCTCCTTGTGTTCCTCACGTGTCC